TGTCTATTTTTTAACCATATTTCTTTTGTATATCAAATCAGGATATCTTCTGATACCTGTCCTCAAAATAAGCTGCATTGTAAAAGATAATATGGGCCCCTTAACTCTGGGATTTCACAAGGTGATTCTTTTGGACTAGAGATATGATTTGCTGGTAATATTTAATGAAACCAACAAGCACCTTGACTTATTGGATTTGCTGATTCCCATAGTGTAAATATGAAATGTGGAGGAAAAGATGCACTTGGTCACCTTGCAGCTGGTGCCAGCCTGTTCCAGCAGGCCACTGGAGTGAGATACTTTTATATTTGCTAAACATGCAACTTGGAAGCCATCAGTTATAATGGCCTAAATTTAACAGGAAAAAATTGATTTAACTGGGTCAGATGGACTGTTACTTTGGGCATAGACCACCTGGGAAAGTTTCGACAGGATTTAGTCACCTTATCTGATGGAACATTTTGAGCAAAAGACTAGTTAGAAACTTTAGTTGCTATTAGATAAGTGGCTTGACAAAATGGATGGAGGTAGAAAAAGTTGAAGTGGTCACTTTTTATTTGTGCTCCTTGTTTTTCATAAAGAATCTTTGTTCTGCCCTGAATGAACTCTGAGCTGGATTTGTCAAAGCAGCCATCTTTTGTGTGATAGAATGCTAATAGGGTCTGGGAAAGATGTCTTTGGAGAAAATATTAATATAATTGTAGCTGACATTTATTGTGACAGTCTCTATTCTAAGAATTTTTCATGTATTATTTTTTTGAACCCTCACTACAACCCTACTATCCCTCCCATTTTGCAGATGAGGAAACTGGGGAACAGAGTTTAGGTAACTTCTCCAAATTGCCATAGCTGGTATTCGGGATTAACCTAGGCAGTCTGACTCAAGAGTTTGACTCTTAATCTATGCACTCTTTTTCCTCAAGTATTGTTTTTGTTTGTTGGTTTTTTGTTTTTTTAAGATGCCTACTCATTACTGTAGTTAGCCAACCACTTTGAATAAAGTGTTTCTTTTAGGTAATTTAATTTACATAAGATTCAACATATGTGAATAAGAGATACAGTGAAGCCATTATTGATACTCAGAGGAGCAGACAGTTTTGTAAACCATTCTAAGTTTAAGATAGTTCTGGGCCAGATAATCTTTGGATTCCATTAATAAAATGGAGATCAAATAGTAATGTGGCTAAACCGTACCCTTACCTTTAGTTAATAGAAATCATATATCAAGAAACAATAAATTTGTACTCTTTATATCCCTGCCTAGGCCAGGATGAATTTAAGGTGAGATAGCTAGGTAGGTAGGTAGGTAGGTAGGTAGGTAGATAGATAGATTCATCGCACTTTAAATTCAGTAGTTATATACACACACGTATGTGAACATATACACATACACGTGCAGATGCATTTCTCTCATTCTTTTAATGTGACCTTTTCTCTGAATTTTGATAGAATCTGTTTACCCTTCCAGCTTGCTAGTTTCCTTCGTTCTGCAAGTCGGCCCATATTTCATTAATTATGATAATTTTCAAAGAAACTGCTTTTTCATAGCATCTTGTTTTGATTGATGCATTTTGTTAGTTGACACCTTTTCCTTTTGAAACTATCTGTAGTTACTAATTGTAGTTATTATTTTTTCCAATTTCCAATAATTTTCTTTCCTCAGGAATTCTTTTATAGAATTTGATGTTTTTTTAAAACATGTGGTTGACCTCATATGTATTTTGTTGACACCTTTTCCTTTTGAAACGATCTGTAGTTATTAATTGAGATTATTTTATTATTTTTTCCAATTTTCAATACTTTACTAGGGAATTCTTTTATGGAATTTGGTGTTTTAAAAAACATTTGATTGACCTCACATGTTTGATATTTGCCCGCTTGTTCTTATTCGTAGATGAAGGTCTACATCAGAGGCTTGTAGCTTGAGGGTCAGAGATCACTAAGGAGCTCCTGGATAGAATTCAGGTGTCCATTCATTTAGATGGAAGAAATCACAATTTTTCTTTACTGGCCTTGAAATGAAACTTAGCAATTTTTTCTATTATGAATGTAGGCAGCACCACAGAAGTACTAGCAGAATCTGGGACTGTCACCGACAGAAAACATACATTTCCATGTCACATTAATTTGTAAGTGTGGATTATAATCACCACTTCAAAATTTTGGCAGCAGTAGACCTACTGCTAGATCTTGTCATTTTGCATTAATAATTTAAAAGATATTTTGAGAGTTTCATTTTGATGTAATTTGCATCATTTTAAATCCTATTTTTTATAGTGTACATTTTCAAAACATTCTGAGAAAGGGTCCATAGGCTTCATCAGACAACCAACGGGGTCCCTGTCACAAGGAGATGAAGACCCCCTGGCTAGGCTGATCACCGTAGTGTATTAGAACACATTCATCAGCCTGATGCTTGTTCCTTGGGGACTGCGTGAGCCCTGGCTCTGTTGCTCTGCACAGGAGAGAATGACATGCTCCAGGGCAGGCTTGGTTGTAGGGGGTACTTTTCTTTTGTGAGCTCTCCCAGCCCTCCTGATAACTTGGGGGCACATATTTCTCCCATAGTCCATTCTGTCTATTCTGGATTAGAGCTCTCATTTTTATGGGAGACAAGTAATCATGCTTTCTGCTTTGGGAAACACCAAAGCAAGTGACTTTGTCAGTGGAAACTGGCAGTTGTGCTGCCCTTAATTACCTGCCTGCTCTGGGCCTCTGAGTCACAGATTTAATCTAGGGTTCTACTGGGTAAACTCAAATTTTCAGGATATTTTTGCTCTGATTTTTATGGGATTAAGCTTTTTGGAATTTGCAGTCAGTCTGATCTGATTTACCAGAAAATTCTGTTCATGGACACTAATGCTATCCTTCCCGGCATTCTAGCCTTGTGGATTTATTTTTACTTTTAATGCTTTCTCTGATTTTTTGGGATGTAGAACAGATGAAAAAATTATGTTTACCTGCCTTCTTTATATTGGTGTAAGTAAGGATTTACATTATATATAGCAGTGGTCCTTGAACTTACGGGTCCCCCTTATAAAGAAAGTCAAAAATTTTGCAGACTCCTAGAGTCTACTGACTTAGCCTGAGAAACACTATTGTATCTAAAACCTTCATTAGATTTGTAATTCCTTTGTTTTTTCCCCCCCTTAACAAAGGCATGTGTAAACTGGGCAGTGGTTATCCTACAGCGCTTTCCTTTGACCTAGTTCCGCTCTCCTCCAGAGTTTTTGGGGGTCTGTTTGATTACCATCATGTTTGGTGAGACACCTATCTTTTATGAGGTATTTATAACTGTTTTGTTTGGTTGCTGATTAAAAATAATGTGTGCCACATATTTAGTGAAGTCTCATGTGCACTTTATCTGGTTACACTCTTGCCTAATATTAGATAGTTGCTTTGTTGGTGCCTTATCAGTATGAACCTGGGTGAGTCACGGTTGCAGAGACTACCAAAAATAGAATTCTTTACAGTAGGTTTTTTCATATCCGAAAAGTCCAAATGATTTAACATTGACAGAAACATTTAGCAGTATTTTGGTCTGCACTGCATTAACTAACTATCATTTTTAGCTTATTAAGTAAAGCTTTGCTTAAAATTATTTAAACTTTATTTTAGAATTAACTAAAAATAGAAAGTCTTAATTTCAGTTTTTTAAAATTATCCCAGAACTTTTTAAATAATAGAGAAGAATAATTTGAGTGTCAAGAGCTGGCTCCCTAAATATCACCAACACAATGTGTGGGTAAGGTAGAGCTGAGGTTATTGCTTGCTGTGGTGAGATATTACGTATGACCTCACGAAGCTTTGGCAGCATCTAGGAGAGGGGAAGGGGGAAGGGTGAGGCCAGAGTTTATTGAGGATTGGAAGTTTGGTTTAAATCTGCTCTTTCAGTGTGGAGACTTGATTAAGATTGGCCAGTAAATCCAGAATTGGTAGAAAAAAGGAAGGGGAAGATTTTGAGGCCAGGGATTCAGAGAATCTGAGGGCACAGATTCTTGCTTTCCAGTGAAGAGTTGGTGGGGGTTTTGGGGGGGAGATTTCTGCAATGAACAATCAAACCATTTCCTGGGTAGGATAAACCTAGAAGAGTTTTTAAAATGCTACTGAGGACAGTGGAATAGAAAATCTCGTGAATGTAGATGATAAGGTGCAATTTCCTTTCTCAGTGCCTAGGCTGATGTGTCAGTAAGTGATTTTCTCAAAATTCTCAAGAGTTGTCTGGATTGTGTAACTCTGCATTTGCTCTGCTGTCAAATTTCATTGAGGTCCTAAATCTCCACTGCCCCTCAGTAGAAAGTGGTAGAATAAAATTTCACTTGAAGCAGGTCTGCTGATGGTGTGATGGCACGTTCTGAAGTCTTTGGATCCTGGTGGGATTATCTGAAGACCTGAGAGTCTGGTCCTCCGCTCGCTGTGTGGGTGGGAGCAGGAGGCGAGCTGCCTCCGTCCAGCGCTGACTTTACAAGCCGCAGGGAGCTGCAGCCATGAGAAACCAGCGCCTAGAGATGGTTACATCTGAGCAATTAGTTCCCAGAGCGACCAGTGAGATTATCAGGACAGGATTAAAAACTAATCATCTTCAAGGGTGGCTTTCATTTATCTTTGGAAGCTAGGCTTTTTAGAAACTTCCAGCTGGGCCCTAAAACAGCTGTCACAATGCAAGTAAGATGAATAAGTCTCTCCTGTGATAATTGTGTGCCATCCTTGCTTCTTCCTCCAAATGCATATCACTTTCCCATCCCCATAGAAAAGTTCTAAGTTTCCATTTTATTAAAATTTGCACCACAGCTTCTGTTAATGTACCAATTTTCTGTCATTAAGTTGTGTCAAAAGGGACATGATACCCAAGTACCAGTGCATACATAAAATGGTTCTGTGCCTGTCTGTTGAGCCAGAAAAAAATTTTTAATAGGAAAAAAAAGATGAAGATGAGAAAAGAAATAAACATTTCAAAATTTAATTTGGAGATGCTCAAAGGATCTTTCTCTTGCTTTCAGAAACTTCAGAGCAAGATAGAGCCCTTTCTTTTCGTAGCTCGGAGCAACTTTCCTGTCAACCGCCCATCTGACCTCGGTCACTGGAACGCTGTGGAACTGGCCTCCACAGTTCTAGGAGCGAGGAGCCCAGCCGACGCCCCGGGGGTGGGACAGAGCCCAGGCGCCAGACAGGGTCCCCGGCCTGCTAATGCGCTGGACACACAGAGCCCTGTTCTGTAACCTTCCTCTAGGTTGGGGGTGAGTGGAACCCATTAGCATTTAAAAATATTTGCAGAAATCAGGGGCGGGGGCGGTGTTTCTGGAGGGCCAGTGCTCCCTGCGCTTTCCTGCGTGCCAGAGCTGGCTGGCATGGCTCAGGCTTTGATAGAGAACATCTGGGCAGCGGCTGCTTTAGCACATAGATGGGTCGGAGGGCAGGGAACAAAGGGGGCTTGTGAGAGAGTGCACGTGGGGGAAGCGGAGGCGCCCTTAATGCCTGTCCCCTGCTCGGCTGGGGGTGGGGGCTGAGGATAGGAGTGGATGGTTTGCCCTCATGTTGGCTCGTGGGGGGCTGCGCAGGCCGTGGTCTCCACTGCTAGACTGACTTGTACCCAAGTGGGAAGGCGCAGCCACCACCAGCGGCGCCCTAGTGCTCTTCCGTATCTCAGAGCCACTTGGTTGGGGCGCGAGGGAACAGGAGATGGAGTGGCAGGCGGGAGGCTTGGTAGAACAAGTTTCAGTGGAGACAGATTTGTCATTGTTTTCTCCGTTGCCAGTCCCATCCATATGGAAACAAGATAAAATGAGCTGCATGTCATGAATAGGTATATTTCAAACACAGAGGTGCTTTTATTAACTGAAGGGTAAGGTCAGATTGTTGAAAATCTGTCATTTATGAGCAGAATTTTGTATTGGATTCTGATTTATGCATGCCGCACCTTACCCAACATGCATATGTATGTAAGAAAAATCCATGTTCAGGCATTTATTACACCATGGAAGTCTTGACTAGCTTATATATGGTAGAAATGACTCTAGTTCTTTATAAGAATGTGCAAACCACTGTCCCCTTTACTGGTTAGATACTGGCTGTAGACAGAAGCTGGTCTAGGCGATTCAGTGAATGTGATGTGTATACTTCATTTCAAAGTCCTCCCTCCCCTCTTTTTGCTCCCAGGTCATTTTCACCTTCTGACTCTGCTCCGAAAAATGAGTCCCACATTTTTAATATTGCTAAGGGCTCTCTTCCCCGTGGATTCATTGCAGAATCCAGACATTAGCACTTGAAAGTGCTACAGGTTTTATGATGGCGGGGGGGCTAATACCACCTGGCCCACGAGTGCCAGGTTCCCAAGATTTTCTGACTCCGTTCACTTGATAAACATCAAATGTCTGCTTCTAGGATTATGATATTCAACAGGATGGTCCCTCTTCCAATGCTGGGAGCCCCAAATGATCTGCTTAATATTTCAAATAGTGGATTCTGGCTTGCTTTAAATTAGGTAGGCAACCTTATTCTATTAACTTTCCTTTACACTGAATTCCCATTAATTGCTTTGATGACTTTTATGTTATATTAACTCTTCCTATTTCAGATTGTTAAAATATTTTTCTGCTCATGTTACTAAGATTGCTTATTCTGCTGTTCAAAACTGCTAGTGAAATAAGGCTACTCCGTGGCTTTGAATTTTTGCTGATCTGGTATCATGATCAATCCATATCTGGTAATATGTAGAAATAGAAACTATAGCTTAAACTGAAAAACAGTGATCTTGACCAGTTTCTACTCTGATGAAAGCTATAGTTCCTTTTACCGGAAAAAAAAAAAGTATATCAAAAATCAAACTTTGCCTCCATACTTACACAATTATGTATCTGTTTGTAAGAAACAGTACCCCAGGAAACTAGCCCCACTTCCTTTTGAGGTTAACTTACATTTTTATGTGATTTCTGCTACTTGGACAGAGATTATTTCTTAGTTATCTGAGTATCAGTGTTTTGGGCATAGTCGATAAATGTTAAGTAGAACTGACATTCTTGAAATCATAAGGATTGAGAAATGGAATATCGGTCTTAGTCATATCAGTGCTATAGAAACTGACGTCAAAATCCTGAAAATCCTCTTAAATTTATCCAGCCCATATTGATTGAGAGCACACCAATATGTAGAATATTTGTTTCAGCCATCTCCAAATTGTTTGGTCCCTATTCATATTATGTGGAGACTCAAATGTCAGAAACGATTTATTAGGTTCCAAAGAAAATATAAAAGTTATCATCAAGCCTAAGAGTGATTCTCTGAATTCACCATCTGGAAGCAGATAATTGAGTCTGGACTAAAGTCCTGGGAGAGGCTGCTCTTGTTTTCTTCACCAGGCTGACCACAGTGGGGCCTTAGAGATTCGTCCTCCACTGAAAGTAGTGCTAGTGGTGTAGGCCCATGTCATGATTTCTTTCTCAGTCTGTATCCAGTCACCAGTGGCATCTGGCATTTCGTATCTATTTCCTTTCTTCATCCACTAGAAGACTGGCTCATATGAACCTGTCTTGGCTTACAAGGCAGTGAGATGACAAAAATATCCAGTGGTCAGTCTGAGAAATGCAATGGTTTATTCAAGTTACCCACAGTTAAGCAGTTGGTTTTCAAAAGGTCTTTTGAGTTTGATATCAGGGACCCACTGCCAATGAAGCATCTCAGGAGTCAGGTCCACCTTATGCAGTTGTTGCCCAGTTCCCAAACTATCCACTGGGATAAAACATCTGCATACAGCAAGAGTTTGGAGTTGCCCATTGGGACATGAGAGGAAGGCTGACTCAGCTGCTGCAGATGATCCCAAAGCTCCCTGTTTTCCATAACTGATTTTATAACTTTATTTCAGCCCATCTCTGGATGAGCTCAACTGTCTTCTTCAGTATTTTACCTGCATAGTGGCTCTGCTCTGCAGTTCAGGCAATCCTGGTATTGGCACTTAAATGGTGAGCCTTTATCAGTGACAGTCAATGCTGCCTTTAAGTACCCTTCAGGGTACTTTCAGGGAAATGGGACATTTTCACGGAGCTGCATAGGCCTTTCTCTTACACACTCTGCAAACAACCTCCACTATTTGAGATTCGGAACTGTTAGCATCTGCTTGGCCTTGAGCCAATCCTCATTCTAACTGCATTATCAGCCAGACCCTGAGTCTTTGTTACAACCTGCTTAACAGTCACCTACAGCCCAGCATTGACACAATTCATTTGTCTCCAATATATTTATTTCCTTTATAATGTAAGAAAGAGGTAGCTCTGCTAATATAAGCTCAAGTATCCACTGATAATTTTGACAATATCAATTTATACTTAAAATAATGAACTGTCATTAATAACACAAACTTTCCTGAAACATTCTGGAGATGAATATCAGAACTCGGCGTTTCTATAGTTGTTCAGAGCTGTGCAGATCATCTTGAACTAGTTATTATTGCCCAAAGAGAAGTGATTTTTTTCTATCGTGTAAAATACTATTTTAATAAAATTTTTTAACCTTAATGAGGAACTGCAGAGAAATGGAGTTGAAAACACACTGGGCAGGTATCTCAATAATACAAAGAAATAAAAATCTAATGGAAGGTACTGAAGTAGGAGAAGGCAATTAGACTCAGTATAAGCAAAAATACTTTGGTTTTTCAGAAAAATGGATATATCAGTGCAAGTCTCACATAAGTGAAAGGTCATTTGAAAAAGAGTAACATGGGAAAAGTGGATAGCCACATGTGAAAGAATGATACTAGACTGTTTGACACCATGCACAAAAATTAATTCAAAAAGCATTAAAGACAAATATAAGACCTGAAACAATAAAATACATAGAAAACATAGGTACTAAACTTAAGGACCTTGGTCTCAAAGAGGTTATTGTGAATTTACCCCAAAAGCAAGGAAAGTAAAAGCAAATATAAACGAGTGGGATTATATCCAATGAAAAAGCTTCTGCACAGCAAAACAAACCATTGACCAAAGAGGCAACTGATGGAATGGAAGAAGATATTTGCAAATGATACCTCTGATAAGGGGCTAATATTCAAAATATATAAAGAACTCATACAACTCAACAACAAAAAACAATCCAATTAAAAAATGGGCAGAGGACCTGAACTCTTTTCTCAAGAAGACATTCAAATTGCCAACAGATAAAAGATGCTCAACTTCACTAGCTATAAGTGAAATGTAACCACAATGAGATACCACTTCATACCTGTTAGAATGGCTATTATCAATAAAGTAAGAAATAAATGTTGGAGAGGATGTGGAGAAAAAGGAACCTTCATACACTGCTAGTGGGAATGTAAATTGGTACAGTCACTATGGAAGACAGTATGGAGGTTCCTCACAAAATTAAGAATAGAGCTACCTTATGACCCAGCAATCTCTCTTCTGGCTGTCTACCCCCAAATTTTGAAAACATTTATTTGTAAAGGTACATGTTCACCTATGATCATTACAGCATTATTCACAATAACCAAGACATGGAAACAACCTACACGTTTTTGATAGATGATTGGATAAAGAAGATGTAGTGAATAAATACCATGGAATACTTCTCAGCCATAAGAAAGGATGAAAATACTGCTGCCATTTGCGATGATGTGGATGGATCTTGAGAGTATCATGCTAAGTGAAATAAGTCAGATAGAAAAGGACAGTAACCATATAATTTCACTCATGTGGGATATAAAATAGCAACAAACAAAAACTCACAGACGCAACAGTATGGTGGTTATCAGAGGTGATGTGGGGTGGCAGGAAGGTGAAGAAGGTAAAGGAGGTCAAATACATGGTGATGGAAGGAGACTGGACTTTGGGTGGTGAGCACACAATGCAATATACAGATGTTGTATTACAGAATTGTGTACTTGAAACTTATGTTATTAACCAATGTTACCTCCAATTTTAAAAAGAGTAACCCGTATTAAATTCACATAAAACTGACAATTAAAAGAGTAATATTTGTTTTTCCATTTTCCTTTTTAAATGAATGTAGGATTAGCAATTGTGTAAAGAAGCGAGTCCTCATTCTGGGATCCTGTTCTGACTTAGAGTTACTCCTTCTAAGAGGACTGATAGCAAGGGTCTGACACAGTCACTGCAGTACGATCTTTGGTGGAACCAGTTGAGCTGTGTTTATCCAGTGTTTATAATCTGATTTTTGGGGCTCCATTTACCACAGAGGAGATTAAAGGCTTCAGTTCATCTCCTTCCTGAAGCATGCCCCTTGGGGA